GCCATTTATTCATTCAACAAACGTTTAGCAAGAAACAGCAGAGCTAAGCTAACCATATCCCAGTTGGCCCAGGACAACTCCAGCTTATTCCTGCTTGTTGGATATCATTATTATTTCAATCTCATAAGTGCCCAAGTTTGGACAGTAAATTATATGGTCATCCTAAGCCAAGCATAGTGTTTAAGAGCATCTTTAAATGCACAGTGGGTAAGAACATATGCTTAAAACAATACCTGTGATCCAAGTCTGGTTCTACCACATAATAGCTGTGTGACCTAGGACAAGTCACAAACCTGTCTATGTCTTATTTTACCCATCTATAAAATGAGACCAAAAATAGGATGCTTGTCATGGAGTTAACGTGAGAAACAGAAGTCCTATCCTACATGAAGCACTACATGAAGCACATGACAAGCACTGTGGGACAGTTAGCTATTATTATGCAAAAACACATCTGGTTCCTGCCCACAGAGACCATATAGTCCAGCAAACTCACAATTTTTTAGAATTTTATTTTATTTAAATTCAGTAAAATAACATATAATGTATCATTAGTTTCAGAGGTAGAGTTCAGGGATTCATCAGTTGCATATAACACCCAGTGCTCATTGCATCACACAGCCTTCCTTAATGCCCATTCGCCCAGTTACCCCACCCCCCAGATCCCCAGTTACCCATACTCAGCTCCCCTCCAGCAACCCTCAGTTTGTTTCCTATAGTTAAGATTCTTTTATTGTCTCCCTCTCTGATTTCAAAACTCATAATTTTATAAAGAAAAGAAGTTCATTATTAACAAAGATATTGAAATATTACCATACATTTCATAGATATTTTCAAATATTATAAAATATTTATCAAGTTACAAAGAAGGAGAAACAGTTTGATAGGTACCAAAGTATATAAATAGGTCTGCCCGAAACTACCAGTGGCTTGAAAAAAAATGAGTATTAGGAAAAAATGATGAAAATGTGAGCATTCTAATGACACGGATAACATCTCACCCTAACATAGGGTGAATCACAAAGAGCACTACTCAAACCAGTTCATCGAGATAATTGGCATACTGACAATATTGGCACATATCAACTCCAAAGTCTCTGAATCTCTAAAAGAATGATGCTTATTTTTAACAAAATGGCATAAAGCGGACCATTAGTCTCCGAACTTGGTAAAATTTCATTTTCTGTTTGTTGGCATCGCATAGATGACAATTGAAGTTGCATCCAGGAAAAGAGAAGGTGGTTTGTACAGCCATGGATTATGAGCTAAATTGTTAGATCGTTTGTAGTTCAACATTCGGGAAAGCATCTGCTCCTTGGAGAATGGGACACCTGGTCCACAGAACCCTCATGGGTGCTCTCCCCTCAGTGAAGAGCACCCCCGTGGTTCCATGGTTCTTGTCCTAGGAGTTCACTAAAGTAAACACATTACACGCTTTAGCAGAAGAGCTCATTCTAAAGGCCTTTGGGTTTTAATCGTTTTTAAATGTTTATTATGCTTCTCATTCTTCAATACAAAGTGAATATGACATCCTTTTGTTTTACATGATTATATTCAATTATCTTATTTTAACAAGACATTATTTATGGTTCCAACTGGGTCACTAAAGTTTTTTCATCATTGACAGTAAAGCCAATAATTAAAGACACATCCTCTAACCTAACATTGTAAAGATGCTCAGGTACTAGGGGATCCAGTGTCTGATAAATGGTTCTAGTTAATGGCAAGTAATATACCCAAATGATGAAGGGGGACAATAAAATGAAGGGCTAGAAATGTGTTCACTTCCAAAATAAATGAAACACTAGCACCATCTAAAATATAGTCTTAAATCTCTTATGTGTATGTAAAATAAAGTGAGTTTTATATACCACTTAACTCAAATTTATCTTCCATTTCATTTGTATAGTAATTAAATTCATACTTGGTAATACAAGGAATAGTAATGAACCCCTTTGGAAAATGTTAAACTGTTCCTCAATGTATAATAACTCTTCTCTCTGTCTCATTATTTTTCCCTTCACGTAGGTCTCATGCAATCATTTCAGTGATACTGAGTTCAGTTGAGGAGGTTTATGCATAGAAAAGGTCTTCACCAATTCTCGGTCTCCGTTATTATAATAACAAGGTGGAGAAGGATCCCTAATCTCCCAGAATGTCATGTTGGATGTCTCAGTTCTATAAATAGTTTGTCTTGACGTTTGCATTATATCAGCTGATGATTATCATGCCCTAATTTTCCATTTTAGTGTTTCAGTGATCTTCTATATTAGGTACATACTGTTCAGAGATGGTCCTCCATGGTCAGGCCCTTTTCCCTCAAACAATTTATTTTTAACAACTTTTAGTGAATCCTACCTTTCAAGCCTCCCAGTGGGAGTTCTTTTCTGCTAATCTTCCCAAGCAAGGAATAAAATAAAAATACCTTTTCCACCATGTAGTGAGAACTTTACTCCAGCCAAAATGAAGGGAAATGCTTCCACTTTTGTCTAACACATATTTTTATTTTACATCCTCACATGCACATTATATTTTAGGGCAGTTTTCTGAACTAAATGCTCATTTGTTGAGAAATATTAGAATCATAACCAATTTTCTTCCTTGAGGCTGTAACTGGGAGATAAAGGTGTATTTTTTTTAAGATTTCTTTATTTATTTGAGAGAGAGAGAGCAAGAATGGGAGGGAGAGAGAGAAAGAGAATCGCCAGCAGACTCACCAGTGAGCACAGAGCCTGTTGGGGGGGCTCAATCTCACAACCCTGAGATCACCACATGAGCTGAAACCAAGAGTCAGAGGCTCAACCAACTGAGCCACCCAGGTGCCCCTGGGAGATTAAGGTGTATTTATGAGAGAATCAATTTCTTCTCATGAATAAAGTCAGAGAAGTTGTAAGCAGTGATATCTGGGTGCTAGGCTGTGAAAGAAGGAAAAGGAGCATGATTGTCTTCAGCAGTGGCGTTACGGAGACCTTAAAAGCTGAGTGAGAGACCCCAAGACTGTTAGCTCTGCTGAAGAATGTGTGTAAAAGTTGAGTATTTGTGAGGAGAAACCAAGATAGGGCACCATAAATATTTTCCTCAGTGTGGCATTCTTTCCATAATCAACTTCATGTCATGTATTTTTTTAAATGGACATGAGCCTCAAATATTTGAAACACAGGTAATCATTAGGTCCTAAAAATGGATTAGTTGAGACAATGGTGACTACAGTGTTCCCTCTGGATGACAACAGGCACTAGAGGCAGGAGCAGCCCTGAAGTGGCCTCGCATGGTTTGGCAGGTCTTCGTCATTTAGCAGCTGCCTCACATGCGAATGCTCTGGACTGCCTTCTGTTTCTGTTTCACCCCATTAATTGTGCTAAAGAAATACACTTGACACCTATGCTGGGTAAGCTCATTTAGCCCCAATGGCTGCAAAAGTACTAATGCCATTAACGGAGGCATTTCAAATGCAGCCAAACGCTGCACCCAGTAAGGCAATAGGCCTCTCTCCATTACTGATGATGGGGCCTGTGGGAGTGTTTGTCCCCACAAACCAAGTGTGCCCCACCAAAGAATGACGTTTTGAAAAGGCATGTGCTGCAATAATGCCCTTTTAGACCCCAGGGCTTCCCTTCTCAATTCCATTCGCCTGCTGTCTCCTGGCTGTCTTTTTTTTTTTTTTTTTTAAGATTTTATTTATTTATTTGCTTATTCATGAGAGACACACAGAGAGAGGCAGAGACACAGGCAGAGGGAGAAGCAGGCTCCCTGCAGAAAGCCTGATGCAGGACTCAATCCCAGGACCCCGGGATCATGACCTGAGCCCAAGGGAGACGCTCAACCACTGAGCCACCCAGGTGCCCCTCCTAGCTGTCTTTAGGTCTTTTGCAAAAGAAAATTAAGAATGCAAATATAAACTATAAATTAAAACACAGTTTTAAAAGTGCGACAGTAAATTTGAGCACCTGAAAATTAAGTTACTCAGCTGCCCCTTGATAATGACCCATGGTAACTCTCTCTGTGAGCTGCTACAGTGAGGAACAGCATGTTCCAGGCCCCTTGCCCTCGATCCATCAGAGAGAAACTTTACATACACACACACACACACACACACACACACACACACACACCTTTAGTCCGTCTGTCTCTGTCAAAATTCAGTAGTACTGGAGCTGTAAAGAAGCAAAATCAATGTAGGATGCTTTACCAATAGTCCCACCTAGAGGCGGGAGGATGAACCAGCTAGAAAATACTTTTTCATTGCTTCCCAAGAGGCTCCGTTTGAACTTGAATTTATTCTGTGTTAACACTTTCTTCATCTGGCTCTGATGCTTCTGCTCTAATCACTAAGTAACCACAGGGTTTTAAAGATGACCTAGATGACCTCAGCATGTTCAAGTGGAGGCCAGAACAGAGACTTTCTATTTTCTGTGGCCAAGTGGACATTAACTTTGCACTGCTCACAAGTCTCCAAAGAAAATTTGGCTAAAGAAAGAAAAACAGGCAGGTTGGGGTTGGGGCGGGGAGGTATAGGCGGTGGAATGAACTGAGAAAATGAATTTGACAATTTGATTGGCTAGAGTTGAAAAGCTTACTGCAAAAAACTCAGTGTACAGGTGATCAAAAAATGGGGCAGGGAAAACACTAGAACTTGCCCCAATCTTCCCATATTCTCAGGCTTCAAAGGATGCTGCTATCCAGTGATTAACTGCAGCATTCCGGGTTGCATAAATGCTTAGCAGCAACTTATTCTCAGAAACAAAACCAAAAAGTCCTTCATAGGGATTAAATGCTTCTTCTAAGATGGGGCATCCAAAAATTTCACAGCTGAAATCTCAGCAAACCCCATCTCCCAGCGAACCACATTCTACAGAAAGCTCTAAGCCATGCAGATGAGTACTGAACAGTGCTCAAGCTAGTAGTGTTCATTTGAAAAGAACACTCTCGAATCAGCAGACCACTGTTCCGCCAGGCTGGCATTTGGGTGACTATAAGATGGATTTGTTTTTCTTCCCCAGTCTCAGGAGGCCCAGGTGCTGAAACAATTGGCAGAGAAGAGGGAACATGAACGAGAAGTCCTTCAGAAGGCTTTGGAGGAGAACAACAACTTCAGCAAAATGGCAGAGGAAAAGCTGATCCTGAAAATGGAACAAATTAAAGAAAACCGTGAGGCTAATCTAGCTGCTATTATTGAACGTCTGCAGGAAAAGGTAATCCCGACAAAGTGGGCATTAGCACGCATTCACATGCAACACAGCTGGGTGGCTTTCCAGTTCCCCGGGGACCAGAGACTTAGTCAAAACTTGCTTCAGGTGCAGAGACAGCCAACCCCTTGGGCAGGTTCTCCCTTCATAGCATTGACTTCGTGGGTACTGCAACATGGTAGAGGAATGGGGATCCAACACTAGAGCTAGAATCGTGTCAGATTTTTTAGTGGTGAAGGGATTCAGGGAGGCTGATTCATGCTTTTCAAGTACATAAAAGATTTCTGTGCAAACCTTAAGAGCCGATCTATTAGGAAAATATTAAATTGGAAATATGAACCATGCCATACAAATATATAATATTAATAAGTAGTGATAAATATGATAAAACAATATGTTCAATATTTACTATTTAATTTAGATGTAATATTAAATACATAACTATTTGGAAAAATGTGCTTGTCAGAAAAGAACAGAATATCTATGAAAAATGGGAAGCTGATACTCTCCATGTAGGAAAAATCTACTTGGCAAACTAGAGTATGATGATCGCATGGAACCAAAGCAAAGGGGACCCAGTAGAGGATGCTCATTTCCTCAAGTTCTGGTATCCTGGTGCCTTTCTGCTCACCAGCCCTAGCATATACCCACTCCCCTCCATCGGGATGAGCAGTGCTGGAGAGCCTCTGGAAAATGTTCTCTCTTTCCCTTGTGTGGGCTCTACTGCTGTCTATCCACCACCACCACCCAGAAAACTTTCCTTTGAAAATGTATAGTATAGCTATGAATAGTTTAGCTTTGTCTATATCCAGAAATTGGATTAAGCATGAAGAAATATGATTTTTGAGAAACGATGTCTAGGTCCTTTTCTGAGCAGTTGCCTCCTGCGCCAGTAGTGAGTGCTATCACATGTTGGCAATGGAGAGAGAGATAGGACTGTCCCTGTTGTCAGAGCATATAGAGTCTAGACAAGATCAGCCTCCTGTTTTCTAAGTATTTCTTAGGAAGACTCGTGTCCTCTATTAGAATTAGCCCATCTCATCTAAGAATCAGACAGCCCTACTCTGATGTTTGCATCTACTCTGATGACTCTGTTTTTGATCTCATTCTCTGATTACAAATATCAGGCCAGAACCAAAGGAAATCAGGTACAAGACCTAAAAATATATGCCCTTAGTTCCATGGAGATTTTTGTGGGCATCTGAGCTCTTGAGGAATTTGTGAAAGCATCGCTGGGGAAGCATGTGTGGGCTCTGAGACAGCAGTAGGACACTGAGGCTCTCGGATGTGTGTAGAGAAAGTGCTAGATGACCTGGGAAATCCACTTCAAGCCTTGGTCAAAACCTTAAAGTTAAAATGTAATTCACTTATATAGGCTAGTGCTTCCATACTCTCAGAACATTGTGTTTCATCTAAGTGCATCAGGTCACAATTTGAAGGTGGCACTTCGGCTCTCTGCATGTTACACACGGTGGTACCATAGGAAGTGCTTTGCTGAGATGCAGGAGAGCAAAGGTCCACTGGCTAAAACTTATGCCCCTCACCTTGAACCATTCAGTCTTCCTCCATTTGCCCTCCGTTCACACATTTCTGCCCAACCAAGGAGATTCTTGCTGACTGGTACTGGTACCATGGACAGCAGAAGACCACCATGTCTTCTGTTCTTGATAATTATGACTCAATCATCTCATATCCTTGGCTCTTAAAAATTAAATCGAGTGGAGCTTCTAGGAATGGGGCGTGCTGGTTATATTTCAGGATTTTCAATTACGCCTTAGTATCGAGTACAAGATTTCTATCATTGACAATAAGGACCATTATTGGTTTTGAAATTACACACAGGTAAATATAGAGCACGTCCCTCTTGATTTCAATTATAAAATGGTACATAAAATTTGCATGTTTTAAGTAGTATTTCCAGAAGTGTTGGATTTTAGTAAGCAATTTCTTTTTTACTGTGTGTTTCTTTTCACTCCCTCCCTGCCCAGCACCTTGTTGCCTTCTTCCCCATTCTCACCCAGATTTAATCTCCACCCCCTTTCAGACACACATGCATACAGACATGCAATTTGTCCTAGAAATAATCAACCTGTGGACAGTTTAGCCTTCCTGACATGAAGCTGCAGAATCTCCACAAGTGGGACCCAGGCACCTACATTTTTTAAAAACTCTCCAGATGACTCCAGGTTTGACTAGGGGTTTATAGCCCATTCTGACTTAAATCTCAGCTGACAGTATTCTATCTCCTGCTGAATAATGCAGCCCAGATCATTTTTAAGACCACATTTCCCCTGGTATTTCATAGCCACAGAGACGTTTTTCAAATCTAATGGGATCTTTGGCCAGAGTTAGCCAAGATCTATTACCTTCTCCATAAAGTAGAGAGATTCCTTGGGGATACCAAATTTACTTCCATTACTTCCTACGTTTTCTTTTTCCTAAAATAAGACAAAGTAAGTTTCTTATTATGACCAATATCTAGCCTTTTGTCTGAATGAAATTACTACAATGAGATTAAAATTTTAAAAAGAATCAATAATAATAGTAATGTTGAAAATACATGAAATTGCTAATACACATAAGCTGTTCTGGAATCTGATGCATCAAAAGATGATTACCACTGAAAATGAGATCTATTAATGAGTTAGTTATTCACTGAGTATTTATGGAGTACTGACTATGTGCTTAGAAACCTGGAAGGAGATGTAATATCAAAGAGCATTTACTAACCATCTCTTTCCCCATGCAGACAATATAAAGCCCAGCAAAAAAGAACAGTGGCAAAAATTAGAGAATAAGTTAACATATATTATGGACCAATATAGATAGTAAACACAAAAGCACTGGAAAATGTTAGTAAAAATAAATCCACATCAAGGCTAAGACACAAACTTTCCACCATTTTGACAGGCCTCACTAACCCTATCAATTAGCCAGAGACGTGATACAATTTCATGTGAGCTTTTGCCAGCACTCTGCCTCCATCTGCTCCCCGTGCCCCTCTTGTACTCAAGTAGGAGAACAGAGCATCCAAGCAGAGCATGTCTTCCCATGAAGTCCATGGTTTTTTTTAGTGTCATTCACAGATAAATTCCCACAAACTTCTTGGAAACCCAGCCATGTTAGCTCAAAGTCCCTAGCTAAAACCAAAAGCCTAAAGCAAAAACAATCTCAGTATGTTCAGTATGTTTACAACATACTGAAGTGTTCTTTAAACTAAGAGATTTTTTTAAAGATTTTATTTACTTATTCATGAGAGACAGAGAGAGGCAGAGACATAGGCAGAGGGAGAAGCTGGCTCCCTGAGGGAAGCCTGATGCAGACTCAACCCCTGGACCCCGGAATCACACCCTGAGCCGAAGGCAGACGCTCAAATACTGAGGCACCAAGGTGTCCCTAAACTAAGAGATTTTGATGTGATTGTCTGGGGTGGAATCCAGAGATCAGTATTACTTTTAATATTTGCCAGTAGGTGCTAATATTTAGCAGGAATTGAGAACCACTGAGCTAAAGACTTCTTAAATATGCTTTGTTATGTTGTCACAAATTATATTTAAATATTTTTTATCTCTGTGCTATAAAACTGTCCCTTTTTCCTTCAAAAACGAGGGTTACACTCTTTTTTTCAACATCTGTTTTCATAGCATCTCATATCAACACTCCAGCTTATTATATAGAAAAGAATCAAATGTGGAGAAAGGTGTAGAAAAAGGAATGTCTATGCCACAAAGAGCTACACTAGACTGATCTGTTTATGTCACTCAAATTGAAATTACACATACCCAACAGTCTTCAAATTGAGTGACATAAATAGTCATGCCCAGGACTCAAAAGTGTAGTTTGTGGACTATGATTGACACTCTGGTGAAGTTTACAATGTTCCTATTCTTGGCATAGTATAATAGAAACAGACACTGAGACAGAGATGGAGACAGAAAGAAAAGTACCTGTTCCTCCATGCAGAAAGGATTAAAGAGACACTTTCTTCCTCCCTGAATGTGTCCTTCCTCTCCTAACACTCAACAGTATCCTGTAGAAAATTCACTCCCTGGCACATCAGAAACCCTGAGTAGCAACAGCTGTTCATCAAACTCAACCAGGATCTGTAGTGGATAATTCTGAAAAATCAGCTAAAGCAGATATAATCATTTTAACAATAATACATACATTCATTAAACAAAAAACTTTAACATCAAACATTTAAATGTACAGCCAGTTACCAATCTTTTGATATAGGCCAAGACCTTTTTGAGAAATGAATCAGTCCTTGTCCCCCCCCCGCACTTTCCACCTATATCATATTAGCCATGATGTACAGTATCAATTTCTGTAAAATTGGATGAGGACTAAAGATATCTGCAAAATCATATGGATATATATAAGATCTTAACAACTTTTCTTTTTTTCAGTTTCCCCTGGCTTTTGTAGTTGATCCAATATCTGATCATAATACCCTTTCTCGAGTATTTCCAAAGCTTTCCCTCCACCCTGACAATTTTCTATTACTGTAATATTTAATTAAATTATGTGATTAAATTTTCAACTAGCTAGTCAAACAGGCTGGAAATATCATTGACCACAAGCAATATGTAATTCAACTAGGGAAAGGGAAAAGTATGTGGAAATAAAAAGAAAGAGCCTATAGCTTCACAAGCAACCCAACATTTAGGAGATACTAGAATGATGGGGGGGGATGGAGATTGTTGGCTATCCTAGCAGGTCAATTAAAAGGACTTCTACTCTTATAGAAGTTGAATTCTTATTGAATTATCCACTTAATTCAATGGTGTCACATCTTCTTGCTTTTATAGCTCTATCACTAGCCACTGCTAAGACTGCCCAGACCATAATATTGTAACAAAGACCAAAGGAACTTTCCATAGTGTTCAGGAGTGAGAGAACCAAAAAAACGCAGGCAACCTTGACAGCTACTTTACCTAGCCAATCACAAAGGACAGTACTTAGGAAATAAGAGACATTGCTTTAGTATAATTGATAATTTCACCTCTGATACAGAAAAGTTGGAGTGAAAACACTGTAGCCATTACTTCAGTGATTATCACATCACATAATATGATATAGCTTAAAATAATAAAAATAATTTGAGGGACTAGGATTCTGTGATTCTTTTCCTAAGGCACAATTTTGATGTTGTATAACTCTTTAGATAGAGATCTCAACCATTATTAATTTTCATCTATTATCAATTTTTATTCTCTTATCTGATTTTTATTTGTTTGGGGGGGGGGTCATTCTCATTCATGAGTGCCATTTACGTAACTATTTACCATTGAGCTTGTCTCATGAATGAATAATGAAAGGAAAAGAGGAGTTAAAACTAGCCCTTACTGATAGCTCCTTGTGGGCCAGCCATTTTGCCTGTACTAATGTATTTAATCCAAACAATAACCCTGTAAGGAGATACTGTTATTGTCCTAATTTCACATCTAAGGAACTTTGTCTTTAGAGAGGTTAAGCCATTTGGTCAAGATCACAAAGCCAAGTAGACCACAGAGTCTGGATTTGAAGCTGTGCCTTTTTGATTCTCACCCTTTATACTAAGCTAAAGCTACAATTCCTTGCCAATCTTCAAGCACTGCTCGGTAAGCAGGCTTGGCAGTACCATTGGAAGTTTTTATTCCAGTGACCACTGTCATCTTGATATATGACAATGTGCCTTCCTGGCACCAACAGCTCACTCCTGACCCCTCTTTTGTTTTGCAAGTGCATTGTCATTTGTAAAAAGAATTCTTGATGATATTGATTGACCTCATCTTGCATTTGAAATAGACTCATGTAGCAGAATTTCATATGGCACTGATACTCTAGGTCATCTGATTCAAGTCCCTGGTTTGTGTTTGATACCTAACAAGGCAAAGGAGACATTAAAAGGTAAAGAAAAAAAAAGAACACCTCATATTCCTTGGCTTTGACCCAGAAATCTCTCTAATCACATTTTCTTAGGGAATCAGAATTTTTCCTAAAACCACCTTTCATACACTTTTGCATATCAAGGGAATAGTTGCATGCAATGCTAAAATATGATTTATTACACCTCCCTTATATTGATGGAAGGAAGGAGGGAAATTGCAGAGAACTTCGTGAATATAGATATGCTTCAGACTGTCTCGCCATGTGTCTGACAGCGCCTGATGAATAGTTGAAGCTCAATAATGAAATGAATGTTACCAGAGACTGGCCTTGACTGTTTGATGAGCTTTCTCAGAGTATCACAACTACCTTAGTAACTTCTGACAACTGCAATTTCCTAATTTAAAAAAAGAAAAAGACTATGTTGAAAACCACACGCCTTCTGCATGTCTGCCCTTTGATTCTCCCATGTTCATATCATAAAGTCAAATTGCAATTTCATGGTTATATATTTGGTGATTTGATGATTGCAAAGTTTTCCAAATAATAGATTTACCAAAATACCTGAAATAACAATATTTTTCCTAAAAAGTCAGAATGTATTTAATTTCCCTTTTTTATGTTTATTTCAAGCTCACGGATCTATTTGTTCTTTTCTGTAGCAAAACCCATTTCCTTACGACTAATTTTGAGTTTAATAAGAAATGTGCTCCAGAGCAGCCCAATAATACTAATTATAATTCTCCCTATTATATTATCAATTTGAATTTGTATCAATCTTTAGACGTAGATCTCTGTTATTTTGTTCTAGTAAACTGATGGCCTGGGCTTTTTCCTAATTTTTGTCAGAGCTCAGCTCTCACTAATTAGTTTCTTTGTGAGAAAGATTTTGCTGCATCTTTTTCCTCATAATGGCAGGACAAAAAGAAGGCAGAGCCAGCTATAGCCACACTACTTTCGCTGTGACATTTCTAAATGGGACACATATAACTTCCCTATATGTCTTTATCCCCTTCTTGACATGGCTTTTAAACATACATGAAAAGCTCTTTCAAACCAATTAAATAAAATTGCATTTAAACTCTCTAGAGTCAACTTCCTGCTTAACTCCAATTCTATCTTTCAAGGAAGTATATAAGATGTTATATGCCTTTTTTCTCCCAGCACCTACATTTGAAAAGACACATTTTCCATGCAACTATTAAATTTTCTCTTTCCACTAACATTGAGCTTACATAGCCGTGGTTAGCAGAGTGGGCTGTAGAACCAGGCTCCCTGACATGGGGTCCCAGCTCTGCCGCTTGTTAGCTCTGTGATCCTGGGCAAGTGACGTATGCTTTCTGTGCCTCCCATCTGTCAAATGGGAACCAGCATTACGCCTCTACCATGGGACTGTTGTGAGGAGAAAGGGAATTTAACAGGTAAAAATCTGTATTCATGCAGAACTGATCACATGTTAGGTGCCTAATCAATGTTCAGCATTATGAAGAACACAGTAAACAAAGACTCATTGAGATTAAGAGTTTGATGATAAGATTTACTTTATAGCTGGTCAAGGTCTTTGCCCCTGAACTAAGGGAATCCACAAGAAATTTCTGGAGTTATAGGAGGAAAAAATAGCTGTGTAAATAAGATACTAAGTAGAAAAGTAATACTAATAATCATCAGCATTTTGAAATTTCAATTCAAGAAGCAATTATTTAGTACCTATGGTATGCAAGACAATGGGCATATAGTCATTTAGTACAGAACCATGTACATCTACCTTTCCTCTCAGTTCCCTCCACAGAAAGTTCAGTTCCCAAACCAATCTTAGTGCCTCAGTTCCTCAGGTAAATAAACACCCACCAATCACGGGCTTAGTGCAAAACACTCTACTATGCCCAGCAAGTGTAACTAAAGTGAAAAAATGTAGTCCTGCCCCTGAGTGAGTTTATATATAAGCATCTACTTAATATAGAAGATGAGACAAAAACAGAAATGCCCAGAGCAGAAGTTAAAAAAAAAGGGCTGCCACCTATTTGCCACATAAGCAAAGATTTGTGCAGGTGTTCAAATGGAAAGTAAGGTTAATTTTATTTTGTGGTCTCCTAAAAATCTTCATGGAGGAAGATGTAACAACCACATGCTTTAAAGAGTAAGTTATGATCCTGACAAAATAGAGACAAAAGACTAGGAATCTCAAGCATTAAAAATTGCATGAAAAGACAATTTCATTATATGGAAACATCAAGTATGTGTGTGTTAGAGAAGAATGGAGGGTAAGGCTAGAAAGGTCATTTGGAGTCAAGTTTTGAAAGGCCCTGACTACCAGGGCAAGCATTTAGGAGGCATACAAAAAGTCATCTTCCTGCATCTAGTCCTCTCAGAGTGTCCACTGGCAATTATAAAGCCCTTAAGGGACACCTGGGTGGCTCAGTGGTTGAGCATCAGCCGTTGGCTCAGGCCATGATCCCAGGGTCCTGGGATCGAGTCTCACATCAGGTTCCCCTCGGGGAGCCTGCTTCTCCTTCGGCCTATGTCTCTGCCTCTCTCTTTGTGTCTCTCATGAATAAATGAATAAAATCTTTTTTTAAAAAAAAAAGCCCTTAAAATATTCTGGAGGAGGAAAAACACCATTAAAATGAGAGGGCAAACAACAATGTGATATTTTAGTGCTATTTCCTAGATTTCTACAGTAGCCGTCATATTGAAAATTCTCTGAATCATATGATCTCTTGATCATAGTTTTGATCAAATGCAGCATTAAGGTTTTTTTAGACTCTGTAAGGCTTACAAGATCCTCTGTAACGTAACACTTCCTGGGTCTCTTGTTGTCATTTCTCGTAAAATGAGAACAGTCCCTAAAGGGAGACACCAAACACCTGGGTGATTTCCAGGGAGAATGTGTATCGTGTACAGGAGTAAGCAGGCCTTCCTGGTTCTCTGCGGAGCAGACAACCAGGCTCTGTGACGTTGCTTCTCCCTTTGGTGTTTTCCAGGAGAGGCATGCTGCGGAGGTGCGCAGGAACAAGGAGCTCCAGGTGGAACTGTCTGGCTGAAGCGATGGAGGGTATGGCACGCCCTACCATTAGGAAATCCCCCTGCCTATATTATAATGGATCATGCGATATCAGTATGGGAAATGTATGACATGGTTTAAAAAGAACTCATTATAAAAAACAAAAAACAGAATCAAAAATTAAAAAAAAAAATTCAATGCGGTCTCTTTGCAGAATGTTTTGCTTGATGTTTAAAAAATACCTTGGATCTTATTTTGTAAATACTTACATTTTTGTTAAAAAATACAAGTATTGCATTATGCAAGTTATTTCATAATCTTACATGTCCTGTAACAGGCTTTTGATGTCGTGTCTTTCCACTCAAATGAATTTGCTAGGTCTGTTCTGTTTGAAGCCCTCATGTTGAACTCCATTCCCTGCCCTTTTCATTCCAACAGAAAAATGAGGTCAGTAGACAGTCTATGGTGCTAGAAACCCACCATTGCCTAATGACCTAGACGGCTTTGTAATCTCTGAATTTGACTAAGACCATACCTAGGGTACAGGTATTATGATTCCACGCAAACCTCCACATTTGTTCACTCATAATCTACTAACTGCCTAGAAACCACAAAACCAGGCTAAGAAAAGAAAAATACACCAATCATAGCATTTACTTCTGCTTCTACTGGATTATGTACTACAAATGTGCTTTGGCGTTAGAAAGGGATGGATGAGAAGACAGATCTGAGATCAGTCTGGGTAGAAGCAGAAAGCTGAACCTTTTAAAACTGCTGAACACAGATCCAAATCCACATGGTTCAAGCAGCCGTGAAATCGCTCTTCATGAAGTGGGCTTAATTCTCTAGTTTAAGTTCTTTTGATGGAATGAATTAATTAATGTGTCAGGTGGCTTATTTGTGGATGCCATGATTGATGATGTTCATTTTAAGCTCTTACCTATAGTACAAGTACATGATGCTACTGAATATTTTTCCACTTGGAAACTGTGAGCTGGTTGTTGCATTAAAACACACGTACAAACAAGATCAAAAACACTGCGGACTTTCACTCAAGCTGGTCTTTCTTCCCCAGTGTGAGGCAATCCTGCCTATTAAAATAAAAAGAAATTACTCCATCTGTGAGGGCTGATACAGCTAAGGGGGGTAGGCAGGGCGTTTGTGCCAACTAAGAATCACCAGACACCCACCATAAGTACCTATCGCAGTTTTGAAGTCGTTTCTCCCCCAAATCCCAACTCCTGAAGGTTGCTGCCTGCATATTTACTCTTCATTAGTGCTATTTTCCTGTATGTCATTGTGAGCAAGCTGTGATTAATAAAGAATTGGAGTTCTGTGAACTAATAAAGGTGCCGTCTGTTCTCTTGCCCCTTCATGGACCCGACCCCGGAGTTCAGATTTTTAAAGGGTGCCCATTGGATTAGCCAATCTCCTAAGCAAAGAGACAATAATTAGTTTGAAGGAAACCAGTGCCCTGCTGATTCACTTCCCTTCTGGAACAGCAGGCGGCATCTCTTTTCTCTCTCCTTCTGACAGGCCAGCACGGCAGGAGAGGTCTTCAATCTGTTCCCCTTAAAAGCATTCAGGACTGAAGGAGATAACCATAGGTTCGGACTAATAATTCGGAGAAAGAGACCCCCTTTCAGAGCACTTGGAAGGTTCCTGGCACACCTCACACTCTCCCATGTGGCCAAAGAACACCTTTGCCAGCCTGTTAAATGTGATTGCCCTGCCATACTGCTGAATCTTGCGCTGCCAATAAGCACACTGCACACATGGACACAGCAGGGTCCTGTCAATGACCCAGATGGATCCTACAGGACCAAAGGAACCACATCCAGTTTTAGCAGAAAATCATAAATAAATGAAACCACACAGACTTATGAGTAAGTACACTGGGCTGTAGTCCATAGAAGCACTAGCCCAGCCAAGTTTGGAGGTGAGGCCACCTGGTCCCTATCTTAAATATCCTTTATTTGTAGGAATCTAACACAGCAATGATCAGTACACATGCTTACAGATGTGAGCTCCATGATCTTCCTTTGGGAAGTCAATTGGAGCTTCTGATTGGCATAAGAAACTCTGCATTTTCATACTGATTTTTATGTAACTTAGTTCATAATTGTTTCTGATAGAACATTATTTGAATGGCTCCCATTGGGCCAGACCCTGTGATTAAGCCCTGGAAACATGAAAATGAATGATCACAAGAAGCTCACAATCTACTTGCTTATTTTTGGCTCAGAACTAGCAAACAGGATATTTTGGTCTGTCCTTGCAGCAAATTAAGGGAGAACATAAAACTTCTGTGAAGCTTTCTGAAATATTAGAAATAGTTGACAAACATTTCACGCTACTTTGTGAGTCCCAAAATTGGAAATACTGACCGATCCAACTGCCTAATCCCAAAGGTGAAGAAGCTAAGACACAGAGAGATGGAAAAGGATAAGTGATTTCGTTCCAGGTCACACAATGCCCACTTATCATGATTTCTCTCCTTATTAATAGCTTATCAGCAGACCATCCTCAAATCTTACCACACCAGTGAGGATATGTTATGTCTTTGAAGCTCCTCTAGACTAGTGGTTCCCAAATTTTGGTGTGCTTCCTAGTCATTTGGAGAGATTTTAATAAGCTTGCTGAGCTCCAACCCCAGAATTTCTGATTCCTGGGGTCTGTGTGGAAGCCTGAGAATATGCGTCTCTATCATGTTCCCAAGTAATACTAACACAACTTATCTGCAACCTCACTTGAGAGACCCCACTATGAAATAGAATCAATACAGATATGTGGATTCTTGGTGATGGCCACAATGGTGATCGTGTTTCAGTCAGGGCATGTTCCATTGGGGTGGGGCTTGAAAAGAAACTCATACTATGTTATTCAAAAAAGTAGAAGTGGAACCCAAAGGAACCCAACAAGAAAAAAAATGAACAACTACATCTTGCAGATTAATAAAACAATAGAAAGAAAACATCTAAGAGACGGATAACGCCAAGGAAACAATCGTCTTGCATCTCTGACACAACGTATTTCACGGAGTCTGGCTTCTTCAGGACTGTGTTTAAATTGTATATATGACTTTGAAATGCATTCTGAAGAAAATTCACGTACTCTCATTGGTTTAACGATTTACCCTGCTCTCCTATTTCTTCTATACTCAAAAATACACAGAACAAATGAAGGTTGACAAATATTTTCTCTGGAGGCAAGCACCAGCCTTTACAACACTTCTGAGGAGAAAACAGAAGTAAAAATGTACTGATAGCCACGCTGCACCACATCCACCCCCGTCCCAGTGAGGGAGAGAACAAGAAGGAGGAGATAAGGCACCCTTGACCTTAGCTACCAAATAATCGATCACCTTTTGTGTTCCCAGCCCTACAAAAGCAATTATCCTTGACTTCTAATCAGGTGCTTTGCTGAAAATTCTTAAGGCAAACACACAGTCCAAAACAAAACTTAAGATTCCCAAGCTCCTCCCCCAAATTACTGCAGAGTCATCTTGGATCCCTCACTGTCCTCACCACCCACCTCCAATCAGTCATCAAATAGTATCAATCTGACCTCCCAATTGTTCTTCATTTCTCGCTTCTTTTCTATTTCCACAATCACTGCCCTACTTTAGGGTTTTTTTTAATTTTTTTTTAATTTTTTTTATTCATTTATGATAGTCATACAGAGAGAGAGAGAGAGAGAGGCGCAGAGACACAGGCAGAGGGAGAAGCAGGCTCCATGCACCGGGAGCCCGACGTGGGATTCGATCCCGGGTCTCCAGGATCGCGCCCTGGGCCAAAGGCTGCGCCACCCAGGGACCCCTACTTTAGGTTTTATTAGATTTTACAGCAACCAACACACATCCTTCGCTCCAATCTGCAGTCTCCTCTACACTCTGTCTCTCTAGTCCTCTACTATCTCTTCCTGCTTCTGGATCAGAATGAAATTTGCACTCCTATGCATGGCATTCAAGTGCCCTACTATCCCCTCAATATCTCAAGAACATTACTCCTCTTAGACACCAGACTATTCACTTTGACAAGAAACTTATGGTTTCTGGAACATGCTACATACTCTGTCTAGAATTATCTTTGCTACAAATTCAAATAGAGATGCTAGATTAGGCTGTGATAAAACCTACAAAACCTCAGTGAGGCTAGTAAATCACAGCGCTTATTTCCTACTCCTGATTCATGTCCGGCATGGGCCACTTGGACTCTCATTTCTCACTCTGCGCTAAAGGCCAAGCAGTTCCATGGTCACGCTGCTGGTCACTACGGAAGAAGAAAAATGGAAGTGGGCAAATCACACACTGGCCCTCCTAAAGCTTCTACCCAGGAGCAGCACACATCATATGTCACTGGCCAAAGCAAGCAATATGTCCACGTTTAACTCCAAATGGGAAGGAAAGTACAATTCTAACATAAGCTCAGAAGGAGGCAAGTCAGAAATATTTAATGAAGAGCACCAGTGACTACCACCCTACTGGTTACCACGCATTCAATCACTCTCCTTCCCACATATAAAGCACACTCACTACTGTCCCTAAGATAAAATCCCCAGGTCCATTTGACCACAGCAGCAAGCTCAATATCCAGGGTCTCTGGGTGATGCACAGTACTCTCTCTGACAGATGTGGATGTGAGCCCTCTTGAACAGAAACAAATTAATTAAGACAAGTTATTTTCCTCAATAAATTCAATATGCAATGATGAAATGGGGATAGGATGATCACAATAAACACCTAAACAGCCTTGTTTTAAAAGGAAATGATAGAGGATACATAGCATTCACTAACAATAGAAATTCTGGCGAGATATTGTGAGGGCTCTCTACCCTTGCGATAAATAGGGAACATTCTTTGCTCCTGTCTCTATTCTGATACCCAGAAAGAAGCTCTCTCATCTATGGTTCTTGGACCATGGCTCTAAATAGATCTGCTTGTCCTTTATTCTCCTTGGCCACATCCACAGGGGCACTGGAGAATATGCCAATGGAATATTGGAATCTGAGCAGTCCTCTCAACCAGCTGGCTACCCTCCATGTGGATCCAAGAGTTGCTAAGTTTTTACTGATCATCATATGGGTCCAGATCCTGGCAAGAAACAGATGATACATCACTATAAATAGGTAGATGGAGAGAAATTAACAAAGATTCTATTGCAGTAGGATAGTATGGACATATTGAAAGAAACCAACTAAGTAAAACACCGAAGGTGTACTAACAGAGAGAAGCCATTTACAACCACCTCCTAAAGACCCAGGAGACAGTTGTTCCTATAGAAAAAGGCTACCTGGGCAGCCCCAGTGGCTCAGCGGTTTAGCGCTGCCTTCTACCCAGGGCCTGATCCTGGAGACCTGGGATAGAGTCCCACGTCAGACTCCCTGCATGGAGCCTGCTTCTCCCTCTGCCTATTTCTCTCTCTCTCTCTCTCTCTCTCTCTCTCTCTCATAAATAAATAAATAAATAAATAAATAAATAAATAAATAAATAAAATTAAAGAAAAAGGCTATCTAATCTGGGGCTATGAGGGGCTATGACCTTCTGAAAAGGAATTTAGCCTCTAACAAATGTAGCCTGTCAAGGAAGGATTGAGGAAACATCTTTCTACTCTCACCCTTCAATCTCTAGCCAAGGCCTCACATTGGCCAAATGCAACCAGAAACCAAAGGGGAAGAGAGCTCAGTCAATACAGTGCATAGATGTCAACCTCTAAGGCTGAGCAAGAAGAAGAAAGGTAGAGAAAGACCGTGGAGGGGCAAACAGAGTGTGGCCACCTGCAGCACAGATCACAGTCTGACTTGGTGGACAGCACTGATGACAGCTAAGATGCCTTCTCACTTATTTGTCATTAGCACTGTTCACTAAATATTTCTGGCTTCCTTTCGGGATTGTACTTCCTGACACTTGGAGTTAGGTAAGGTTGTATGAACTACATTGGTCAGTGGGATGTGAGCAGAAGTAACGTGTGCCCCTGAAAGTGGAAGCTTTAAGAGCAAACTCATGATTCACCAACCTGTTTCCCTCCACTACTACGACCTGGAATAAAGATAAAGGAGAGCACAGCCCCCATCAGTGAGAGACATGTAGCATGAGTGAGATGAACTCTTTTTAAAGTCTTGAATTTTGGAGTTGTTATTCATTAACAAGGACTAGTGGATTGAAACTCTTTTCACCATCACCAGGTCTCTTAGCTAGCCATATCATCTTCAGTCTGAAATTGAATGTTTCAGCAGCTTCTGAGTGGCTTCCATATCTTCAATTCATCTGAACCCTAAATGCCAAGGAAACCAATTAAAGTCATGATATTGGGAAGGAGACGTGATCTAACCAACTGAATTA